TGCATTTGGATGTGAAGAGAAAAAAGGCAGCATAAAGCGAATGGGAGAAGAAGTTGAGACGGTGAGAGAGAGAGAGTCGTGTGAAAAGTAATTGCGTTACACACCTTCCTTTTCCATATGCGGTTTATTACGCCCCACTCTTTTCGTATTTTCGGGTTTCGTAATTTTTTCATCCTTTTTTTTTTACTTTATCTTTTTCTTAGGCTCCTTTTTTCCATCCTCATTCTGTCGGTCACACGCACATTCCTCATTTTCACTTGTCTCCCTCCATCCCACACCTTTCACGCTCTCATTTATACAATTATTGCTTCTGAGTTTACCTTCTCCTTTCTATTTTCTTTTTTTCCCCTTCTCATATCTCCACTCTTGTCCCACTGCACGCATTCATGCACGCACACACTGGCACCACGGCACACCAATGCACTTGTCGCACTGCCCGGTACCTTTCACTCCTTCATACATTCCTTTCTACTGAATTCACCTTAGTAGCACCATTACGTCCTTCACTTGCATTGTTGCACACTACGCCTAAATTTACAACTCCTCTTAACAATCGCCTACTTGGAAATGGTTGCTTTTGTAACCCAGTACTATTCACGTGCATTTTTATATCGGAGGAATAGCAACTTACAGTCATGGATCGCATGCTAATCGTCTTTTCCTTCATTTCTTCCCTCCTCCCTCCCTTCATTCCTTTCTTACTTACATGCTTCTATTCCCCTCCTCCTATCCTACCAAACTAAATCCACCTCCCACTCACTTCGTTTTGCTCTCCGCAATGCTAAACTTGTCATCTGGGTATATGCTCACTAATATGCATCCATAAATAACCACAAACAGACATTTGCAGCGAGTTGCTCCTTTGTATTGCTAAAATGGATGTTTTTGTAACGAGGAATGGTGCGTTGGAAACTAAGCATTATCACTTGCACAGGATTCTTCAGCTAAATCCTTATTCCTCAAATAAGATCCATAGGAGGGATAGTGATGCGAACAGACCTCCAGCTTTCGTGTAACATCGCCCTGTGTCTTTCCTTCTGTAAAGGCTTGACCTAAAACATCAAACGGGCAAGAATAGTTATGCACCACTTTCCATTTATCAGACATTTTCTTATCCTAGTTTTGGAAAAAAGTGGTAATTGGGAAAAAGATGACTATCTTTTGGTTTAATACATTTGATGCAGTTGTCAACTTGTAGTTTAAGCACTACTTCAAAAAAAGGCAATTGTTGTTGGCTTCTGTCCAACGTATTTGTAAAGGACGCATAAGTTTTGCAGGTCTCTACAAGTCGTGCATAATCGGTTCCGTAACTTAATGCCAAAAGTTATCTTTACATGATCTTATGAGATGAATGATTGCATGAGGCAAGCAATGAAAGGATGTTTGAAGTGTTTTGCTTTGGAGGAACGTACCATGTACATGACCAGCGTAATTAGGAACCATACCAGAATTTCGAAAGATTCGAAAGGATATTGGTTGCTCACTTAACTCAAATACTTGGGGAATAATTCTTTCTGGTTCTCTAAAAATGGATGAATTGACTTGCATTTACGTAATTATGCATTGCTCTCAATGAAACAAAACCTTTACTTGTTTATCTCGTCATAAATGTTTTGAAAGGTAAAAATAAAAAAATAAGAATGTTCCTATGTATGATGGCCTTGGACATATGTACAATAATAAGAGATTAAATTTATCGCATGATTACTTTTTAAGTGTCTCAACGGGGGTATTGAGTCTGGCAAAGTGGCTCAAGATTTCGGACCGGAAAGTCGACAAAGACTTCATGGTGCCCTTTTGGTAAGTACAGCCAAAAGATAAGTTAGCCGCAACAGCTTTTGGAATGTGACCGCCATAACCAACCGTAGGTGGATCAGTGTGACCTTTCAATGCATATTTTTTACCGTTTTTCTCAAGGTATTTATCAATCCATATGTTCATGTGGTCACGAACAACATCATCGTCACATATTGGCTTCAGCTTAGGAAAGAGCCGCATTTGCTCATCCAACTTAGCTTCTTCTTCTGCGTGTTTCATGTAATCAGTGACAAACTCGTCAATGCACTCATCAGCTAATTGGGTAAATGTGCCACCATACTTATGCAACATTCTGGGGATGTCACCTAGAATAATCAACAGACAAGTGCTAAACATTGTACCGCAATATCCGGGTATCGTGCTCCTCACATAACGGTTATTGCCTGTTGAAATGGGAATTCGATCTCGTGGTATTTCATCTTGAAATACCTTTTTGGAGGAGGACGTGATTTTACCCTCACCGACTTTTGGACTTATGTAAGCCTTTTCCTAAGGCAAAGCCATAGACTAAGCGCGTACATACATATTTAGATGCCTCTCCATAGTTTGGCAAGCGCTAATTATAAGATAATCGCATAAATTTGACATTACTTGTGATATCATAGCCGTTTGACGACCGAATGATCTTCCATGTTCAAACTTGTACTGTGGAACATATCCCATGTAACTAACTTACTAAACCTAACCAGCGTATATTTACCCAGGAATCTTTGACTCAACTGCTGCAGGCTTGGGCGTATCAATCATTTCCAGTTACGACCTCGAGATTTAAACTTGTGTGACAACGTACACCCGGTAATGCAATTACAGAACCTGAATAAACGATTTCAAGATGTCTAATTTTGGGGTAAGTAAGGCAAGTTTAAACATACATATAAAAAGAACGAATATGAAACATTACAAATGCATTTTAGCTCATTAGCATAATATATTGCGCGAATTTTGAGTAAAGTAAGAATTCCTGCATTTTATGCATGTGATAATTTGCTGACGATTTTTACTAAGCAATTACTTTTATCGTAATTTTATTCAAATAATGCAAGAATATGAAACAACTTATATTTGTCTTGTTATGATTTTAACGCACAACTAGGGTCTTTTAAAATGCGTGGTATTTCTCTGTTCTCTTCTACTTTATCGCCGGTTTACCAAGTACGAGTCGTATTAATTTGGCCATCTTGCTGCCGGTGTTAATGTAGCTCATCTTGGCTACCATCTTGCCGTTACCCTGTTTGCTGACCTTCGGATTGGTTTTGAGGCTTCTCTTCTGTTCCTCCATGCAAAATACCTTCTGCCGTGTATAGAAATTGTTCCTCGACGTGACACTGGTGTGGGCTGAAACTAAAGCCCAATGCTACGACTTCAATGCTGGTTCTCCACCTGTGACGAACCTCCGCGGTGCGAATGAAGGATGTATGCTTATGTTGGAGAATCTCTATTCTTCATCTCACAAGGAGTAAAAACATCGTTCACCTCTGAACTTTTAACTTGTTTTAGTCACAAACTAGTAAATGGGCGACCAGCTAGGTTAATCCGTGAGTGTTTTGTGCAGCACTGCTTGCGTCCGGATGATGAGTGACGGAGAGGTATCAAGGGGGGCGTAGAGAAGTAGAACTGCAGCTCGTGCGACACTTAGTTTTTCAGAGGCGCCTTAAAGTTATTTCTCAATGATAGGAACCACGTTTATCGGATCTGCTGCTGTTTCTGCTTTCACCGGCTTCATTAGATGTGCTTGTGAGGTGCAATTGATGTGGATGTGCAAATTGTTGCTGGTCTTTGTAAGGAGAGAGGGGAGTAAAAGTGCCTGCCAGTGGTTCTGCGTTAAATGAAAGCTAGTCTTTGCTACAAAAAAAGGAATGGGTTTGATCGTGAGAGAAAAGGTGGGAATGGTGAGGTGTAGCAGCTTCGTATTTGAGGCGTTGGAAGTGGAAGACGACGTGCAAAACCACACCATCTGTCCTGGGAATCGCATGCCCTGGTGCTGCCCAAATAACTGCAACAGCAACAGCGCGTGTCACAGGCAATAAGCAAAGGCAAAGCTAGACTGCTGTTGCATGCGACCAGCACAGGCGCTACGAAATACATAAGTTGTCGGCCAAAAGAAATAATAGCAGTGTAAAGAAGGCCCCGGTTAGGTGTCTTCGCTTGCGCAAGTTGACTTATTGGGGGCTGTGAGAAATGTGGAAGGAAGCGCAACAGAATAAGAAGGAAAGGTTTGATGGTTGGGAAAGGGATTGGTGAAGATCATGTGGGTGAAAAGAAAGAGACAGGTAGAGGTAGTCGAAGACGTGGCAAAGTGAAGCTGAATGTAGTTGTTGCTGAAGCCATTTCAGTAGCGAGGAGTGCGGCGACGGCGAGTGCACTCGTGTCCGGTGATGTGCGTGCGAGTGGGCGGGATGGGAGTGGGCATTTGAGGAGGGGAAAGAGAAGGCACTACTGGGAGGCGAGAAGTAGAGGAAATCACGACTGGAGGCAGTGTGGAGTCAGAGCAAGAAGGAGAAGTGGAAGTGGTGTTGAGAATAGTGGGTGGAAGGCGGATGCGCTGGTAAAGGGGTGAGAAAGGCGGAAAGAGAGGCATGTTGTGGGAGTGGAAAGAGGTGGCAATTGGATGGGAGAGGTATAGAGTTGAGGGAAGACGGGCGACCTCTGCCCACGCAGAGGCTCCGCGTGCTAGCCACCTTCACGGCCGATGTGGTTGTGGCCGTGTTGGTTTCGGCGGTTGGTCTGTGTACTGCAACTGGCTTGTTGCAGGAGCAGTGGCCGACTGTGACGTATTCAATGCGGCTGCTAAGCTGCATCGGCACGGTTGCCGTGGTATGTGGCTGGGTGGGGCGGGCTTCATTCACCTTGCTCCCGGCACCTCCTGTTGTGCGTGTTACGTCATCCAGAGTACTTCTGGTGCCTCCAGGAGGCACCGTTAGGTCACCTATCACGTCACAACGAGCTGTGTCACTCCACTCCATCTCAGCTCAGTTCAGCTCGCTCGCTCACTCACTCACTCTACCAACTGCTGCATTGTCAATCACTATTGTTAATTAATTTCCGCCAACTTTACGCAACAACAGCTACCCATTAGCGTTTCAGTAGGCAAGTCGTTTATCCTTTAAATTTGTTCGTCAAAATTGTCGAGCTGATGGCGTGTATGGCATAGATGCCTTGAGACCTCCCTCTCTACCTCTCTCCTTCGGCTGCTCTCCTGCTGCACCAGTTTGTGGGAGCACCCTCTACACATCCGCAGGCACACCTACACTCGAATCAACCTTTCCATTCGTGGTGCATTAATAGTTATGAGGTGTGTGTGTAGCTAAGACGCGAGAACACTTCATGTCCATCACTAGCTCCAGATGTAAAGAATGGAAGGAACACCACTCGTACATAACTGTTCTGTAGGGAAGGAGATTCAGAGCAACGCCTTAGTCGACACGGATTTGCGAACAGATTACGCAGATGTGGGAAGATGGAAAATAAGAAGAAGACGAAGAGGTAAAAAGGAAAAGTGCATTATCCCACACACTTGCTGTCAGTTGCAGTTAAGGAAAGGCTGTCGGAGCAGTACATGGATGATAGAGGCACAATTTCCATCGTCGAGGTTAGCCTTCTAATGCGGTAGATTGGTTAGGCATTCTACCGCCCAAACTTCATATCTTCTCCATTCGCAACGCATACTGCCAAATGTCATTTGGAACCAGCAGTGAAGTCGTTTACAACTTGGGTTACTTTCCGTCTTCTCACCATTATGATGTAGCTAGACTCTTATTTGTAGCGGAGGAAGGCACTATGTAGAAGTCGACATACACGCATTTAGTGAATGGCGTTCAAGAATCCATGCACTCATACCATGTAGCGAGCATAACGACGCACTAGTATTTGCGAATAGTGCGTGAAGGTAAGCACGAAAGCCGTCAGTAGCCACGCAACTTCGCATCTGCCTTAAAAGATTAAATAAATCTATATAACGTGCTATAGAATTTAAAGTTCTAGTCATCACAAGCAAAAACAGTCCAAAAGCACGCAATTGCAGACTGAGGAAGTGACGAAAATGTTGCGATAATGACCACAAGGACAGCAATATTCCTTTCAAGTAATTCCAACATGTGTATATTTCTAGGCAAAAACTTTTTCATACGTCTGTTTTATTGCAAATGAAATTAAAACTCAATAAGCAAACTGGAAAATAATAGCTAAGAGATAAGGTTTTATTGTTAGTATTTACAAGTGTTTATGTTTGCATTATTGCACAAACTGTTAACGCAGCCCGTGTTATTGCACTGGCCTGTTTGCTCATCTTATCGATGGCGTGTTTTGCGCACTGCAATTTTGGAGTGTGTATTTCTAAAATTGGTATGTAATAACGACCTTTAACAGTAATATTTAATCTTGAATTGATAAATAAAGTTAAACGATGGTGATTTTGTATTGACATTTGCGTTAATCTTTGTTATTGCCTGCTTACCCGTTTTCACTGAATTTGGCATCCGTGATTTTAGGGAGGACGCGTGGAATGGGGGTGCAGTTGGCGAATTGACTTCCAAACCGCGAGTGGATATTCTATGTGTCTGTGAATGCGGTGTACAACTGTATTTCGCGGATTACTTTGGTTGCGTGGTGAGTGAGGTGAATTCTTGCTGGTGTGACGGAAGGTTTCCTTGTGCATTATTATTATTATTATTGACTTCCACATTCTGTAGATGAAGAAGAGGAGGGGGAGGGGCAGGAGAAGATTATAACAATGGAGAAGAGTGCTGCTAGGTGGTTGGAATTCTCCGATGTCGTGGGGAAAGGCTTGTGGATTCATAAATTGAAGGCAAGGCGCATTGGAGGATCGTCAGACATCAATGCGTAGGTGAATTGGCGAAATGTGATGAGAACAAGGATGGTAGGAATGGTATGGGAGAATTTACGGAAGCGAACTTATGTTGATGGAGGGGTTATCGGTTTGCATGGAGTGACATAGTTGCGACGTGTTTGGGTTGAAGAATTAGTCTGCGCCGTGGGTGCGCGGGTGTTGTCTGCAGGTGACTTTATTTTCATGCTTCGGATGCACTTTGTTTGCTCTGCATGTTAGACTTTTGTTGTTAGACTGAATGATTAGCTGTCATCTGCTGGATCTTTGGTAGCTGCGGCAACTTATTTGCAATGATGCATGTTGGTTGTGTGGGTAGTGGTTTGGGGTGCGGGTGGATATACGAGGTGACGGTAGGTGTGTCACGATCAGGTGGGTGCTAATGGTAAAGGCATCCGTTGGACTTCAACCGTGTTACTCCTCGGCGGCGGTGTCGGTGTCGTCGTCGTCGCAACGAAGGGTTGTTGAGACGACGATGGGTCTTCTGTTGGTGTGGAGTTGCGTGGGCTTAGTGCTTGTGCGCTGCGACCTTGCATTTAGCATTTGGACGGCGCCAGTCTCACTCGGCGGTGGAAGTAGCGCAGTTGTGGGTTGTTGAGGTGTTGTCTTGAGGCGTGTGACTTGTATTTGTTGTGAGGGTGGCGGGTTTTTCTTTGTGTTAGGTGCTTGTTTTTCGGTTTAACTATTGCGCCTTGAGATAACGGCACTGTTGTCGTGCCTTGGTGCCAAGCTTGTGGGTGATTTGTCGTGATATGTGGTGGAGTTGTTGACTTGGCGGAGGGATGTTGGGACGCTCGTGTTTTCGTTAGGGATGAAGTTGTGCGGATATTATTTCTTGTGTTACGTGTACGTAAGTTGTACGGAGACGGGATCAGTTGGAGGTAATTGGGGTAAGTGGTGTTGCTGTACGTCTCTCAGTGTTAGGTGCGCCTCAGAAGTGTGGTATCGCCCATTGGGATGGTGATAAGCGTGTTAGCGACGAGAGCTTTGTATTTGTTGAGAGGACTGAGTTTCTCAGTGAGTGTCAGGTGGCTGTGTTTTTGTTTAATACTCGGTCTCTTGAAATTGTCGCTTCCGGGTGCCGTATATGTTGGATAGTGTGGGTAAGGTTTGTTTGTGTTGAGTGGTTTTTTTCTGTCGACTTGTAGTTGTCGTCATCTTGGAACCGTTGCGATTGCAGTCTGCGCATGTCCTCCCGTCGTTCGGTTTCGTTAGCATTGGTCGCCTTGACGTTCCTTTACCTCCCTCGTTGTGAACTAGATGATGCCGTGTAAATTGGTGTTGTTGTTAGTGTTGATGGAAGTGTGTGCGTAGCTTTAAGCAGATCATGCGTAAGTGTCTACGATTGGATAAAAGAGGTGCGAAAGTAATGGTACGTAGTTGCGCTGTGCTGAATGCTTTGCTGTTAAAGTCTGTCCATTTTCTTCTTATTCTTGCTGGATAGGTAGATGTTCAGTTGGATGTAAGGAGTGGAGTGCGTCAGTTGTTGTCGCCCTCGATGCTGTTGTTGTGATGGCTAGTCGGAGGACGGATTCCGTGTCGGATGTGGTGGATGTGTATGTGCCCTTTCTTATTGACGGTGGCGGTGGGCATGCTATGACAGCTACAGCTTTAGTAAATGATTGCTAAATTTAAGTGCATGAAAGTAATTTGGGCAAAAAGCTGATGGCTGTTGTGATATACGATTCGAACTCCAATACATCGGCGTTCAACATAGGTGTAATTTGGACTTAAAGGGCGGATACTGCGAAACGGGATCATGGTATTGTGTGGCTATTGCCTGATTGTTTGTTAAAAATCCAACCATGTCAGTTAAGGTTGTGGAATAAACATGATAAATGACACTTACGGGTACTATTCGAATGCCATTTTTGCGTCACAGTAAGCACTGTAATACTTTGTTTATGTGACTGTCTGACATTTTACGGCCGCTTTAGAATTGGTTTGGTCCCTGTACACGTGGTCTGGCCTTCGGGCTGTGTTCCGACCTCATTTGTCCTGTCGTCTTCGGAATACATGTAGTCAGCCTCACTTAGGCCCTCTACCAC